GGTGTGGCCGCTGGCCACTTCTCCCACCGACGTTTGGGCTGATATCCCAGCCCGCTCTTCTTCTTTTCTGACCGCAATGTTGAGTTTTTATGTCAGGGGAACCTCTACCCCTAGCGTTTTATACCTACCGTCAGGTACGTCGTTAGCAATGGCAGAAGTAGGTATTCACCCCCCTCCCCCAGTTTCGTATGCAGAGCAAAGCACTAGGAAGAGAAGGATGGATATGTATTCCTGCCTTCGCTAGACGCCGCCTGCTCGCACCGCCAAGACCCGCTCTAGGTACTAGCCTAGGTGCTAAGCTATCGCGGTGACAGCAGCGACGCCCATTGCACAGTCGGCACCCGCGGGGTGGATACAGCTAAGAGGATTTTTGCCAACCATACTCGTGATTAAAAGGGTTTCCAAGATATGCACGAAGTGATAGTTAGCACAACTTGTACTTAATCACAATAACGCTTGCTCGGTTCACCAAATATCCCGCCCAAGTTATCATAGCATTAACACTAGAACCGTACATGATATATACTTATGTATGTATATGAAAAATATATACTTATGTATATGAAAACAAATAAACCAGCAAAAATAAATATTTCTATAAAAATCAGACAGCGACATACACAGCTTACAAATTATATATGGGTATTTCCATACATCGCATACGTGACAGTCGTACGTTTCAATGTGATACAAACAAGGATTACCATTTGTTTTCTTTAAATTTTTTGGACCATTGTATAGCACATAATTAGCTCTATATTTAACCGAAAAATGAAAACAATCGAACTGCTTGGTCCTGAAATATAAGCATTTAAAGAGAGGGTCGTTACGTGACAAAAAATGGAAGTCGATTTTTTCTTTTCTTACAAAATCGCAAAACTCTTCGAATTCTGGATGGCTATTTTCATGAAACTTACTTTAATATGATTTGGAGCAATTCTAGTTGTTTTTAGAGTATTTGAATTAATGCAACTTGTTTCAATTTTCTTTTACAACCCCAAGTGTGAAACGTTCCATCGTTATATTTTTGTTAATATTGCTTTTAAATGAATTGTTAACGCAAATAAAACATGTATTTTATGTAGAATATACTTTATATTTTGACTTCAGCGCCAATTCAGGGTTAATTTGTTGGAAATCTATGACTTATTATGTTTCAACTACATAGGCCAAATTCAAACCAAATCGGACCATAAATACGGTTTTTCGAAATATCTCAACCTTGGCGCCACCTAGGAAGACCATTTTACGCAAGCATGATTTTACTTACATAGCCAGTATATATTTTAATAAATAATATAAAAAAAACTTTTTAATATACAACGCTTTTATAAATGGACTAAAAAGTAGGAAATAATACTTCTCAGTCCCATAGAATTTGTTTTGATAACTTTTGATTTTGAAATTTTAGCAAAAGTCATTATAAACAATCTATGAAATTGAAAATGAAAAACGTGGAGCGCATGCAATACAAAGCATTCGATTTAATTGACAATAGTCAAACTACATAACGTAGACCTAAAATTTCTACAGCGAAAGTAGAACTTTGAAATCGATTTTAAGCGGTCGTTATTCATATACCCACATACAAACATTCATATATTACTTTTCATATCAATTCAAGTGTATTACATGCGCCCCACGCTTTTCATTTTCCATTTCATAGATTGTTTATAATGACTTTTGCTAAAATTTCAAAATCAAAAGTTATCAAAACAAATTCTATGGGACTGAGAAGTATTATTTTCTACTTTTTAGTCCATTTATAAAAGCGTTGTATATTAAAAAGTTTTTTTTATATTATTTATTTTCTACTTTTTAGTCCTGTCTGAATAAAATTTTGCAATAGATATTAAAATAATTCAACGATATTAATAGAAAGGAGCACACACATGCATTTACATATGTATGTACATACAAACGAGCACCAATTAATTTTATTTAAAGAAATGGCGTGTCGTCTATTTCCGCCGATATGCGTGTATAAATCCTCCTCAAAGTCTAGCCAAAAAGCCAGCAACTCACACAACAGGTTCCCCAGAGCAATTCGCTCGAGAAAGTGGTACCCGGTACACGTAATACGCGGCACACAGCACAACAATCCGCCAAAACAGGCAACCCGGCCCAAAATTACCACCGTAGAAGGCAGAAACCCCGAGCGGCAGTGCAGGAGCCCAAGAATTACCCTTACAACGGCCACAGGAGCTTAAAAAGACCAACTGGGCCCCAACTAGTCCGAAAGTAAGTAGTTTCGGACTAGTCCCAAACTGGTTCCCGGACTGGTCCCCGACTGATTACCAACTGGTCCCACGAACTAGTTACCAACTGGTCCCAAAGGGGTTACCAACTGGTCTACCTATACCTCAAGTGGTCCACAAGTCACTTCACTTACAAATCATTCGATTTAGTTGACAATAGTCAAACTAATTTTATTTAAAGAAATGGCGTGAGGTCTATTTCCGGTGTAGCAAGCGTAGTACATAGGGCGACATCTAGATGTCATCTACCTCGCCCTATTCACTATGCTTTTTTATAGGATCTTTTCAAAGCTTTGCTTTGGTGTCGGAACACAACATTGAAAGTTTCTGGATCCACAACATTGAAAGTTTCTGGAACACAACATTGCAAGTTAATAAAAGCGTTGTAAAAAGCAGACTCTACCATGCACATTTCTAGAGGTATGGAGTTTTTTATATCGAGATCTTTTTTAGCTGATAACCATCCTTTGAACGTCTGCAGCAGGTGTCCGAAATTTCAAAAAAATCGGCAGCCGTTCTCGAGCTTCGCGATATACATAGATGAATTAGAGTCGCTGCTTTTAATATTGCGCTCACTTATGTACAAAAAAACATAGCAGCAGGGTCTTTATGCGTAATTATATACATACATATGTATGTACAAAAATATGCATATGCAAATGTAAGTGCTAACAGCAATGTTAGTTGCTCCTTGTGGCAACATACTATACATATGTTGCCTACATTATATCTCCATGAACTGTACATACATATGTATATATTTTTTAACCAGGGACCGTAAATAACAGTTACTTTTTTTCAACAGCTCAACTTGGCCAGATATTTTCAAGTCGAAAATAAAAGTCTTTCAAAATATACATTAGTATAGATTATTTATTTTATGTTTTCATAACCACATCACGCACGAACAGCTCAATGGATGTGTTAATTCTTTTTTGCATTCTACTCGATATTTTCTGTACGTTCGTGGTAAAAAAACGTGAAAATAGGGTTGCCAGATATTTGAAAATTCAAAGTTTTTTAAAGGTCAATAAAACATTTAAGTTTCTTCATCAAGACTAAAAGCATCAAAACTAAAAGCAATTTTTTACCATGAACGTACAGAAAACTTCGAGTAGAATGCAAAAAAGAATTAAACACATCCATTGAGTTCGTGCGTGATGTTGTTATGAAAATATAAAATAACTAATTTTTGTATATTACAGATAGGATTATCGGTTATTAAAGCACACTTAGTAAAATTTTTAAGTTAAACGTACGTCATGGTGCTATTTTTTGAAGACTTCTGAAGAAAGATAGTCCGATAAACACCTGGACTTACGGATTTTATTGAGTACTTATCTCTAGATCTGCTACATTCAAAAAAAGCAGGAGTACCTCTCCCAGTGTGTGACTCTTCGCCATGTACGATCGGTCTTGAGCATGAAGCTCCTGATCTAGGCTGTTGCGATACGTATGAAGACAATACCAAGAACCTTAGCTCCCGAACTTAGACTTCTTCACTTGTTTTTCTTTTAGTGTAAGCATAAAAAATGTACTTCAATTAGTACTTTAAAAAATTATCCTGTTCATTATCGGTTTATCTCATACTTCTAAATTACTACTAAGTGTAGCTAAGGAGCGTCAAATCAGCTTTTCACAACGTGCAACACATTTCATAATTGCATCATGCGTTGCACCAAACGATGTATATTCTTTTGACATATTAGACTGCGCGACAAAATCAGAAAAATTTTAATTGTATAAATGGTCCTCTGCAATAACGTTACAATTCAAAATTAAAAAAAAATAAAAACCTTGACTACTGTTAAGTGCCTCATGTCTCTAATCCTTGTGTAATCAATGTAAGTAAGAATTAAGGATTGCTAAAGTAAGTAGTAAGGTTTACACATGATTTAGACAAGGATTTGAGAACTGAGCCACTTAACAGGAGTCAAGGTTTTTACTTTTTAATTTTGAATTGTGCAGTTATTGCAGATGACCATCGAGATGTAAAGTGCCTATAGTGGTTAAAAAATACCTTCATTATTCACATATTTTTTTAAATAAGTTCTTTGTTAAAGTTTTAAAGTACAATTTGCATGTCCTTCCATTAAAGTTGATAAAAATTGTTTTCCTTCGTGCACGATATTTAAAATTTTTAGCTGTTATTTGACCCGTTTTGAAATTTTTAAGTCATTCAAAAGAGCAAAATATCAATTAATGAAAAACTGATTATGAGGCTATTAAAAAAGCATAGCACATATCGTTACTACACACGAATAAAGACGAGCGAGTACTTTCACAGCGAAAAAGCGTGAAGACAAAAAAATTACGAAAAAGACGCGTAAACCAAGTTGACGGCGAAGAAGCCACAGATTCATACCTGGCCAAGGACTGTCACTTCAGCATCATTCCCCAACAATTCTTTGGGGAATTTGCATACGCGACCTTTTTCGCCGTCAAATAGGGTTCGCCGTCAGCTGTATTAAGAGCCTTTCTTCGACCGAAGTTTTTTACGCGCTTTTTTCGTGTCTAGGGACGATATGTACAAGTATAGTAACTTGACACGGGTGTATACGGATTTTCCCATGAATTTATTATTATTATTATTATTTATTTAGAATTAAAAATTAATTTTAAGACTAAAGGGAGAAGAGGCTAAGCACTAGCTGCTGTGGCTATCGGCTCTCCCATGAATTTAATTGTAATCTCTTGCAGTTTTTTTAAACTTTATACTTCACTTTTTAACACTATTTTGCTTTTCAGCAAATTCGCCAGAGTTCCAAGGATAGTACTGGCTCTTCCGATACGGATAGCTCGAGTGATGATGAGTCTATTCCAAATGTGGCGCCCAATCCTCCAGTTGGCACTGATCCAACAGCAGAAAAACCACAAAAGGAAACTGAAGCGGCCGCTGAACTTTCAGTGCTAGTTAATTATGTGGAACCGGTACATTTCTATACTTTCGAAAATGCGGAAAGTAAGTGCAAAGTAAAAAGTATAAGCCGTGTGTACATTTAAATGTACATTTACTACTAATCAAATTCAATTTGACTATCATAGAAAAAAATCGGTGCTACGAGATGTCTTCATTTGATGAAAAACAAGCTACAGCCCTGCTCAAAGAACGACCGATTGAATTTGTCAACTATAATAAACACCAGCTTTCCCGAGTTTATCCGACCGGTACACGTTTCGATAGTTCTAACTTTATGCCACAGGTTAGTTGAGCTTTTCAAGCGCCTTATTGCAAATATTATTGCATATTTACATATTGTATGAAGCTTTTCTGGAATGCTGGCTGCCAGTTAGTTGCTCTCAACTATCAAACTTTAGATTTAGCTATGCAATTAAATCTGGGCATCTTCGAATACAATGATCGATCAGGGTATTTGTTGAAGCCGGAGTTTATGCGACGCACCGATCGTCGATTGGACCCTTTTGCGGAGAGCACGGTACTATATATTAGATTTCTTTTTTTTTTTATCTGATATGGTTGTAAATGGCGCTATTGCAGGTTGATGGTATCATAGCAGGAACTGTGTCCATAATGGTGTTGTCTGGACAATTTTTAACTGATAAACGTGTGGGAACTTACGTTGAAGTGGATATGTTCGGGTTGCCAGCAGATACTGTGAGAAAGCGATTTCGGACGCGGATCGTGCGAGATAATGGCCTCAATCCAGTTTATGGCGACGAGCCCTTTGTTTTCAAAAAGGTAATCAAGCCCACTTATTTTTGCCAAGTTTGAGTCTCCTTTAGATTATATTTAAACATATAGTAACGGTGAGTATCCGTCCTTTGCTTGTAAGGTCAGTCGTTTATTTTGCCCCTCTGTACCTTATCAATATTTACTAAATAAAGGACGCATATTGTCTTTATTTCTTACACTGTCTTTAAACGAGCGCTGGATTGTTTCAATGGTAAATTTCTAAATAAGTAATACCTAATAACCAAATCTAGAAGAAGAAGAAATTTTCCCATTTTTAAGGTTTTTTTTATTTTTTCAATAGCGACACAGGCGTAAATCTTTCCTTTTTCAATATTGTTTAATAAAACAAGTAAGAAAGTCTAAGTTCGGGCGGAGCCGAACATTAAATACCCGGCGCAAGTATTAAAGATATGTTTTTTCACCTTTCCGAAACCTTCCGCTAGATGGTAAGCCGGGGTGTATCAATTTTGAGTAAATTAGCGTCCTTCAATTTCGAAATATTGAAGTTTCAGGCATTTCTGAAATTTACCGTTATATGAGAAGCGGCCGTTATTTTAGTCCGATTTCAATAATTTTCAACGTTTTGCTTTTATGTGGCAAGCACAATAACCATACCGAGTTTGGTAGAAATTGGTAGAACGGTTACCGATATACATATATGTGATCAAAAGTGGGCGGTACCACGCCCATTTTCCAAAAATTTACCATAAACGTATTTCTTGGTAAAGAATTGTTGCAAGCATCAATTTTGAATAAATTAGCTTCAATATTTACCGATTTATCGAAGATTTTGTATTTCTCTAAATTATCGTTATATGAGATGTGGGCGTGGTTATTCTCCGATTTTAAAAACTTTCGGCGATTTTTTATGCTGTACCAAGGCCAACAACTGTGCCAAGTTTGGAAGAAATTGGTGCAGCGGTTACCAAGATATACACATGTAACCATAAGTGGGCGTGGCTACGCCCATTTTCCAAAAATTTATAATATTCTTATTTTTCGTCTGAAAATTATTGTAAATATCAATTTTGAGTGAATTATCTTCAGTAGTTACTAAAATATCGCAGTTTTCGTATTTCTGGAAATTACCGTTATATGGGAAGTGGGCGTGGTTAAAGTCCGATTTCGCCCATTTTCAATACCAACCTACCTTGGATTAAGGGAAACCTACATACCAAATTTCGTT